CTTCATGACCAGAATTCATTATTGCATAAACAAAATTTCCTCATTCGACCGTTCACAATAGAACGTCATCGACCACAAAATGTAAATTCCAAGAGGTCACAGGGACTCAGAAGCCCCGCCAGGCCTGAAAGGGAAAGATGGGAGATTTTCAGAATGTCGAGATTTCAAACCATGACGCAATTAGTTTACCGAACACATAGCTGGAACCTATAAATTAAAGAAGAAATGAAGTCAAAGAAAAATGAACCAGACCGTGGTAGTTCTTTTTGCGAATGTCATTTGGCGGAATGCCAGGGTGCGTGACAGGCGAGAAGAGCCAAATCGGACGGCGAAAGCGATTGGTGAACCCACCTGCCTCGCGGGATTCCACGAACGAGGTTCAAGGTGTTCAAGGTACAAGCTGCTTCTCCCTACCGTAAATTCCACCGCCTTGCGGGAGTCTTTGGGATGTCCTGGATGGACAATCTGGACACAAAATATTCACCAGAAACCGATGCGTCTCAACTCCGTAGGCAACACGTGAATGAGGATTTTCTTAACTTATTTCTATCACGACACAGGATACCGAAGACACGTGAAATACGCACATTCGAGTATCTGCATGCACGTTTCACGGCGATGCATCTTGATCGATGACACGAGCAGACCGTGGAGCGGGCCCGGACGACCCCGCGGCACGGATGCAAGCACGTCGCTCCATACTCGGCGGGTTCCCGCGGCTCGCCCCCGCGAGTCCGAGCCGCGGAGGGCCCTGGTCAGGGGAGGATCGGGAAGGCTGCCATCCCGTCGCAGTGCGTCGCTCGACTGCGTGGGTCTCGCTTCCTCGCGGATCATGGGAAATTTAATTTCTCAATGCGGGGATGCCGTATGAAGGCAGGCCGGATTGCAAAACCGTCGATTCTTACGAGAATGCAAAATCAAAGGGATTTCTGTCGGCAAGTTACGTGAGCGCCGGTCGTCTTTCGTCTGTGGGACACTTTCACCGTTCATTCCCCTCACGTAGTCCATTATCTAACTGCATTACACCAAAGTCCGTGTTCCGTCTGTTGAATCTTGGAAGCGACTGGATTCCCGCTCTTCAATCGATATGATGGGACCCCGTGATCAGTCGATCCCAAAACGCTGCTCTCATACGAACTACCACGTCATCTAAATCGGCTGTCATTTTTAATTCATGAGATATTGATGTCGATGGAGAGGCCGGCTAACACGTTCCTCCGGTTTTCCTCCAATCCTGGTTCCCCATTTCAACGAAATCCATTTAGTTTTCTTCAGGTTTTTTTGTTGTTTGTTTTTCGTTTTCCGGGAGGTTTCTCTTCTGACGGGTCGGGGAGAGGAAAACCTTTCCTAATTTTCCCAATTTTCTCCTATCTTGTCATTGCTCCATACCCATTACAGGCACTATGCATTGCAATTTTTAATTTCCAGGAAAATGATGATCTGTTGCATCATCAGTGACATTTCACCCACTTCATTCGAATAAAATCACATATGCCTTCCCGTAGCACATGGGGCCATTCCATGCATATTGGATTCGCAATGGGTCAATAACGCACGTGGAGGCCAAGAACCCATCACGGACTCTTCACCTGCCTGAAAGATGAGTTACGGCACTGCGAGTTCTCTCGAGATTTCTCAACATGGGTTGCGAAATGCGAAAGCAGGAATTCCCACAAGAGAATATCATGAAATGCCTCCCGTTTCTGGAGAAAAAAAAAAAAAACCGAGGGAATGAAGAAAAAATACTACCAAGGACATAATTTTTTTTTTATATCGTTCGAGGAATAGATAACGTAACATCACCAGTGCAAGTGCAGTTCATCGAAACCATTTCGATCGATGAAGGCGACAGTGCGAGCGAACGAGAAAATACGAGAAAAACGAGAACTCGAAGAAAGTAACGGACGAATAATGAAAGTGTTGGACGTGATGGCAGGCAACGATGAAGAGTAAGATAAAGTCGAAAATGCATGTTAACGTTCTCCCCAGCAAGAGCGCAAGCAGTCGCATCTCCTCATCAAATTTAATGACGACTGAGGGAATGAGTATCTCTATTGAAGTGAATGCGCCGAGTGCCCTTGCACGAGAATCAATCGGCTTTTCACAGGAGACAGATGTCAAGAGGGAAGGGAAGGAGGAGGGGGGGGGGGGGGGGGGGGGGGGGGGGGGGGGGACCCCCCCCACCCCCGGCCCGCC